AAAAAAGTTAAAAATCAAGTATTCTCAGGGCACCTGGGTGGCTCAGTCGGTTAAGTGTCTGACTTTGGCTCAGGTCATGATCTCATGGCTCATGGGTTCGAGCTCCGCGTCGGGCACTGTGCTGACAGCTCGGAGCCTGGAGCCTGCTTCGGATTCTGTGTTTCCCTCGTTCTCTGCCCCTCCCTTGCTCATGCTCTGTCTCTCTCTCAAAAATAAATAAACATTAAAAAAATCAAGTATTCTCATTTCAATTTTTAAAGCGTGTATCATAAGAGTTGATCTTTGTAAAAACAATCTGTATCTTTATGTGCATATGCACAAAAGCAGCCAAAAGTTTGGGATTTGGGGTGCTCTTAATTTACACTTTTCTGATTTTTTTTTTTTCTGCAATGAACAAGAATTACTTTTACAGCCCGAAAAAAAAACAATAAAGCTATTTGCTGTGGCTGGGGCATTCCTTCGGCGCTCTGACATTGTGTGGTCAGAAAAGTAGACGCTGGGGCACTGGGAGACTGCACAGGGGCACTTCAGGAGAAGACCAAAGTTCATTGCTTGCTCAGCACCCCAGGGCTTAGCCGAAACCCCAAGGCCCAGCCTCCACCACGGCTTCCTGGAGACTCAGCCGGTCAGGTAGCTGGCAGCAGGTGCTGCGTGGCCATCCCCTCCCTGCGCTCCAGACACTGGGAGTGCGGCTCTGACCTGGCAAACCCGAGGGAGGTCACTCTGGTCCCACCTGTACAAGCCTCCTATTGTGGGCCAGAGGAAGAAGCCCTGGGCAGGGGGCAGGGCGGGCGGCGGCAGGGTCTCATCCTGGCTGGCTTTGCCCACTAGCGGCACAAAATCCCATAATAACGAGCTAAATGAGCAATATATATTTGTGCTAGGTGGGTTACATGGTTGGTTTTATGGAACCTTCCCGATGACCGGAAGCCATGGGTGGGATCATCATCTCCATAGTACACCTGGGCAAACTGAGGTCTGGGAAGCCTGGGTGCCTGGGGAAGTCACTCTCACTGAGGCTGGACTTAGCCAGACCCTTCGCAGGCACAGCGTCAGAGGCTTCTCCCGGAAATCCAGGAAGGTGGCCGCCCTGGTTTTGCAGATGAGGACACGGAGGCTGAGAGAGGGAAGTTACCTGTCCATGTCCCACGGCGACTATGTGGCAGGGCCAGGCGCAGAGGCAGAGACTCTCAGAAGCTCCGCCAGGCGGCCTCTGGTAGCTGCGAGAGGCCCCGGCACGCTCCCCACCTCCGTGGGCTGGCTCCTAGTAAAGTTACTAGTTACTGTAGCACAACCTCAGGAGCGTGCGGGGCAGAGGTGAAGGTGCATTGTTTCATTTGCTCCTCTCATCAAAACTGCAAATCTTCCATCTGATTGAAGCCTGGAGACGGGAGGTCCAGAGCCATGAGTGACAGGCAGTGAAGGCATGGGGGCCCCCATGGCACGGTCCAGGGCAGCCTGGTGTGGAAGCTCCTGGCAGTGCAGCCAGCTCCCTTCTCCCATCACAGGGGCATCAGGAGAACAGTTCTCCAGCGGAGCGGCCTGCCTCCCAGCCGAGCCCCCCCTCCCAGCCCCCCCCCACCCCCGCTGTAGCGTGAGCCTTCCCGGCGGGGGGGAAAGGGCACTGAATGGCAGGGCCAAGGCAAATTGCCAAGGACAGCTGCAGGGGTCTCAGGGGATCTGTAACCCTCTGCTGCCTCTCAGGTAGCCCCAGCTCAAGATTATCTCATGCCCCTCCCAGAGTCAATTGTTCAGCCAACTCGAGTCAGAGAGCTCATCATGGACAGAGGGCCAGGCCACTGGCAACAAGAGGGGCCGCTTCTTTGGGTACCTACCACCTTCCAGGCACCAGCTATATGCAATCGGGCACCAAGCCTCATAAAGCCCTTTCAAGACATCATATCTGCCTCATTTTGCAGAAGAGGTGATGGGGGCTCAGAGAGGTAGAGTGACTTGTCCAAAGTCACACAGCCAGGAAGTCTCAGAGTTCCTGGCGGCCAACTTCAACCAAGGAGGGACAGAGGGATGGATCATCCAGGACCCTTCAGAGGGAGGCCAGGGACCCACTATGGAGGGGAGGTGGGGAGAAGGAAGGGCCTGCGTCATGAGCTCTGACTCTCTTGGGACATGATTTATTCATCAATCCATTTGTTCTCTGTTTATGCATTCACGGACCTCTCCACATGTCAGTGTCTTTGCTGGGCATTGAGCACTCAGGTAAAGTGGGCTCATCTGTGCTCTCGCAGAGCTCATGGCCTAGCAGAACAGAAAGGGAAACTGAGGCAGGAAGAGGCCACCACTTGCTTGGGTCTGCTAGAATTTACTGAAGGCTTACTGTAGGCCAGGCCCCGTGCTGGGAACCGGGGGCACCAAGTAAACGAGAAGCACAAGGCTCTTGCCCTCCTGGAGCATATATTCTAGTGGTATCCAGTTTCAAACCTCCAGAAACCCTGCTTGCGTGACCCCTGAGCCCTGAACACAATGGGAAATTTCTCTAGGGGTTGGGTTCTCCGTGAGTCATACGTGGGCCTGGTTCTGGGATGCTGAGCAGGGATCCAGAAAGGGCAGGGAAACCCAATTAATGCCTTAGGAACAAGCGTGTGTCCCTTTGCTCCCCACTGACAGCATACTGGCTCAGAGGCAGCATTATGGCATTCGGTTGAGCCACTCTGACATCAGGTCCCTTTCACAGCCTAGGAAACGGAGAAACGGGGCAGGGGAAGGACTGGCCCAAGATCACACCAGCCTGTGGCACAGGCAAAACGTGAACCAAGGACTGCCAGCCCTCTCCACCAGCTTACATGCCAAGAAGCCACCTGCAAGGATGGGCACATCTACACCCAAGCTGGCTATGCCCATGGTTCTTCACCGCATGAGCTGCAGGCACAGAGGGAAACTCCTTTCCTTTTTTAATTAAAAAAAATTTTTGTTAATGTTCATTTATTTTTGAGAGAGAGATGGAGACATAGAGTCTAAAGCAGGCTCCAGGCTCCGAGCTGTCAGCACAGAGCCTGACGTGGGGCTTGAACTCACGAGCCGTGAGATCATGACCTGAGCTGAAGTCGGACGCTTCACCGACGGAGCCACCCAGGGGTCCCAGGAAACTCCTTTCCTAAACATCCCGATGGTGGTGGTTTTTATTTTTTGTTTTTGTTTTTGTGTTTCTAAATACTCTACCTCTGCTGTCACCTGAGCTGTTCAACCTGAGAGGCCCCTCTCAGTGTGAATGGCAGAGAGCAACCCAGAACTGTTCCAACTCAGCAGCTAAAAAGCTGGATCTAAATTTTTAGGTGGAATTTTATTTTTTTTGAAAAAAGTATTTCTTAATGTTTACTCACTTTTGAGAAAGAGAATGTGAACGGGGTAGGGGCATAGAGAGGGGGACAGAAGATCTGAAACAGACTCTGAGCTTACAGCAGAGAGTCTGATGTGGGGCTCGAACTTATGAACCGTGAGATCATGACCTGAACTAAAGTCAGACTCTTAACCGACTGAGCCAACCAAGCGCCCTTTGGGTAGAATTTTAAAAACTGCCAAGTCTCCTTGGTTTAAAAAGAGAGAGAGAGAGAGAGAGAGAGAGAGAGAGAGAGAGTCAAAATAGGAGAATGAAAAAAAAATAGGAGAATGGCTAAATTATTAACACAATACCATATAGCCATTAAATAACTTTAAAGAAAATTTTAACTGTGAGAAAACATTTCACCATATAACATAAGGCAGGGGGTAAAGCCAGCTTCAGAGTATTATTATAATTAAAAAATGCACTTATATGCATATGTATGATCCAAATAGAAAAACAGGACTGGAGAGAAATATAACAAAGTGGTTATGACAGTTATCTCTGGGCAGCGAGATGACAGATGACTGCACCTTAATGTAGTTCCCCAATTTTACAATGAGTATGAATTGCTTTTATAATTAGACATAAAGCAGAAAGGCAGAGAAGGGGTTGCCCTTGCCCAGGCCCGTCCCCTCCACCTCCACCCGCCCCCTGCACACAGCTGGGTGGCCTCTGGGTCTGTCCTCACTGACCAGCCCAGCACCGGCCAGAGCTGAGGGGCCCTGGCCAGGCCACTGGAGGCCGAGGGCAGCCGGCACAGAGGTCGTGGGATTCACCAGCCATCTCTGCCCATGAAGGAACCAGCAAGGGGACACTGCCCTGTCTGGGCCCTCCAGAAGGGTCAATGGCAGGCTGTAAATTTCCTGGCCGGGGACATTGGGATTTGATGCTCTCAGGGGCTGCGAATCGGAACATTCATTATCTGCTGTATGAGAGAAGTCAGCTTCTTTGTTCCTTGCATTTCTTTCAGAGCTGCTGAGTACAGCAGGAAGGCTGGAGGACAGCTGGCCTTTGTCACCCTCTCACTGTGGGCTCAGGCAGGCTCTCGGCTTCCCCACATGGGACTGGAGTGCCTGACCCACCTCGTCTCCCTGGGCCCTTGTAACTAAACTGAGAGATGAAGGCCCAGGGGTGCTGGCCTGCGTTCGCCCTCCCAGGTTACTGTGCTCCAGGAGCGACTCAGCTTTGCCTCTGGCAGGGCTGCCTCCTGTCCTACCCCGATCTCACCCAGGGGGGCTGGATAAGGCAGAGTTTCCAGAGAAGGGCCTCCCTGCTCTCTGGAGCTGCAGACTTGGGCAGGTTCCAAGAATGGTGCCCTCACTTCCTTCCAGCTGAGATCTTAGCCACCCCCTCCCTGTTCTGGAAGCTTCCGCCCTCCTCCTGGGCTATTTTAGCAATCAGGTCACCCGTTGGCTCACTCCGAGCTTGCGGTCAATTAAAACCCACAGGCCCTTTTCACAGAAATGGTGGCATCTCTCCCTCCTCCAGATGCTGCCAAAGTCAGTGTCCTCAGGGTGAAAACGGCATGAGGGGACAACCCGGTGGTCCTCCCGTAGCAGGGGGCCCTTGCTCAGGAGCTGAGGCCATGCATTATTTCCACGCCCACTGTGGCCGGCATCCTGTGAAGGTGGCTGAGGGCAGGAAGGGCGAGCTGGTCACAAGGATGTTCTGATGGCCTGAACACCTATGTGTCCCCACGCCGTACCCCGCTGGTGACACACAGCCCTCCCTCTGGTCCTCACTGGCTCTAGGCAGGGAGCCAATCCTCACTTAAATGGGAGCTGGGTGACCTCCAAAGGTCACCGTGTGGTAAGCAGCAAGGCTGAGAGGGACCCTGGGGTGTCCCAGCAAAGCCCAAATCCACCTCGGCTGCACTGGCGATTCCCAATGACCTGGCACACATGACTGCTGACCCAGGCTGCCAAACGGGTTCTTGTGATGAAAACTGGGGAGGCTTCGCACCGTCATCCTACTGACACGGCAGGTGCCCCAAACCCCACACAAAGCCCAAAGGCCCTCTCTTAAAGTCCGTGTGTGTGTTCTGCTCAGAGCCGCTGAGGATCCTGGTCACCTGCTTCAGCTAAACCCTGGCCAGCAGCATGCGGAGCCCTTTGGCTGGAGAACCCGGGTCAGTTCCCATCCTTCCTTCCGCCAGGTATGTGACTGACCCCAAGCTCTTCCTGGCTGTGGCCCAGAGTCAGGTGGTGGACCAAGGGCAGAGCACCTGCAGTGGGGGACCCCGACTCTGCCTGGGGCAGCAAGACAGCAAACAGGAGAAAGATTGCAAGGGTGCCTGGGTGACTTAGTTGGGAAAGCATCCGACTCTTGGTCTCGGGTCAGGTCATGATCTTGCAGTTTGTGAGATCGAACCCCACATCGGCTGTGCTGACAGTGCAGAGCTTATCTGGGATTCTCTCTCTCTCTCTCTCTCTCCTCATTCTCTGCCCCTCCCCTGCTCTCTCTCTCTCTCTCAAAATAAATAAATAAACATTAAAAAAAATAACTTAGGGGCGCCTGGGTAGCTCTGTTGGTTAAGCATCTGATTCTTAGTTTCGGCTCAGGTCACGATCCCCCAGTTTTGTGGGTTCGAGCTCCGCATTGTGCTGTCAGCACGGAGCCTGCTTGAGATTCTGTCTCCCTCTCTCTCTGCCGCTCCCCCACTCACACTCTCTCTGTCTCTCTCAAAATAAATACACTTAAGGAAAAAACCTCAATAAAATAAATAAATAGATGAGCACTTAAAAATAAAATAAAATAAGAAAATCAAGATTTACTTTTAAAAAAAAGGAGAAAGATTGCAACTGCAGAGGGCACTGAAAGTGGCAGACAGACATAGGCCCTGCCTGCCTGAGGGAAGACCTCGGGCAGACCAGGAACTGACAAAGGCCAGCGTGTGGCTGCAACAGCACTGTCCGATGGGACCAGAACACAAGCCATGCTTGGAATTGACAATTTCTAGTAGCCACGATAAAAAAAAGAGAGTCTTAGTCAGTTGAGCGTCCCACTCTTAATTTCAGCTCAGGTCATGATCCCAGGG